TAAGTTATTAAGCTTTAATATTTGTTGCGAGTTTTTATGTGCATAAAGAGAAGATACAATAATAGGCAATATCGGTATTCTCCTAAACGCCTGTCTACGGCCAAATTGTGTCAACTCATTTTTTCTCCAGCCATTCAGGTGGAAATGCAGCGAGTGGAGTAAACCAGATTTAATTTTTTAATTGTTTTTATTTATGCACAATTTTGCGTAATGTATGTTTTTTATCATGGTCGAGGGTGAGTTGTTCTATCATCCATGCATTAGGAGTCTTGTCCTAACAAATTGAAATGAGGTTATAAAGCAGTGATGGTACAATTTACTATGCGGAGCACGAGTTATGCATCATACCGTATTCTTAACTCGTGAGCGGTGCCGTTGAAATTACTGTATTTTTAATCCGTCGATTATGTTAAGATTATCGAAAGCGAGGCTGAAGCCGAAGAGCCATCGTCTACGTCGAGTGGCTTGGACTTGGACCCTGATTTGGACAAGGAATTTTGCGTTTTATGGGACATGAGCACCGATCACGTGGGTTGGTTGTTGGTTGTCATCTTTCAGCTAACCTGTCTTTTTTACTGTAGGACGTCGTCAAGCTGATCGCCGAATGTGACGGTGCCAGGATATTCCGTAATCTGCTTATGACGACGGCCAAACCCAGGTTGAAGGTACTCAAACCTGTGAACTGAACGCACTCTCTGTGTACGAAAAAAGACTCGATTGATAGCCTGTGCGTATATTCTTAGGAAATCACTGTTGGCATCATAGCAAACATGCTCTGTGATTGTTCGCCGCTAATCGTCTCTTCAGGCGAAGAAGGAGATGGGCAGTCAGAGCATCCTTGTTTCACTTTAGTCATTCGGTACGAAACTCATTTTTTGTGTTTGTTGTTGTTGTTGTTATTACGCCTGTACCATCACTGGTTTAGCCGGCTTCAGTTAATGTCCTTGATTGTTGCTTTTCACCTGTATCTTTAATGCGCCGTGTCCGTCGCCAAGTTCAGTCAGTTTTCATTCCACTGTTTGTGATCCTACACTGCCGGCCCAGAGAAGAATTTAACGTAAGCTATGATAGTACCCACCACGTCTTAACTTGTCAGCGTCCTTTCCGGTACCATCTAGAGAGCAGGATGTTGTTCCGTGTGACGAAGGTGATATCTCAGGTGGACATCTCAACATATGCATCAGCCAATGCCGTTGCCTTTCTAATAGGACATTAGGAAGCTAGAAAATATTGCATCGGGCACGAACTGTGGCGTAAGATATATGATCGATAAATCGTATCCGTGCGATAATTCATAAAACATCATCGGTCAAAGGATTCCAGTTTCCTCACGTCTTCGACTTTTGAGGCTTAGCCCTCATGAGTTTCAGGAACGCCCCCTTGCCGTTGTTATCCCAGCCATGGTTCGTATTTAGACTGTCCATTTAGAAGAATGGAGAATCTGAGGTATATGAAGGCGATAGCTTCTTCAAAGGAAGTAATACACGGGAAGATGCGTTTTTCTTTTTTTCCATGATTCTGAAAGCCCACTCTAAGGTCTGTCTTATACCGAATGTTTCAGCATTTATCCTAGCAAGCAACACAACACCGTTGAAGATGAAAGAAGATCTGAAATGTTGCAAGAGGCTTCTACAACTAAGAACAGAAGAGATAAATCAGAGAAAGCATCTCTACCTCCTTCATATCGTTTGTTGTCAGATTTGTAGCGTAAAAATGAATTTGAAGATGGAGTGACAGATTGTAAGAACATACAAGAAGTATGCAAACAGTTTTATGCCAACTTTTTCAGACAAAGCTTCAAAATTGTTACTCATACAGAATAGGTGGCATGTCGTGTGCCCGAAATATGACCACGTGAAATTCGTGCATGTCTGTTTAGGATGAGCTAGATCTGGGTTCAGATCTTCTTTAAGTCAGTAGCCACAGTATAAATAATATCCGGTCACGATTGTTTACGACTTTTCCCCTTTTCATCCTAGTGTATGAATGCACCACAGTCGCAAGTCAGCGTTTCTCCAACCTTCGTCTGAGATTTTTCAAACAATCGACTGGTGGACAGGCTGCCAAGCTCTCCCTCGAACTACAGTTGTTGTATTTTCATTCCAACCAAACGGGTTCAAAGGAATGAAGCACTT